CATCCTCCACGTTTGCTACAAACGGTTTTTGTGCATCGAGCGCCAGAACCACCGATGATTCCCGTTTGTGTTTGCAATTGTGCACCGAGAATTGCCCATACATAAGTTCTTATTGATTCATTAACTCTTACAACTCCTGGGTTAGTAAAATTATTTTCTGTTTTATCATATAGAAATTCATTCCAAGCGTTTGCGGTATCATTCAGTTGTACAAATTTTGTAACAATAGAAGCCAAACCACCCTTAAAACTCATAAGATCTCCTCTCCAATCGTTACTCGAAAGTTCCCAGCCATGATTAAGATTATGTAATCTTACAAAAAGATTGTTTTTCTGTAACAACTTAAATGGATTGAATGGTTGATGAGTTTTTTTAACTAAATCATCGCTTTCTTCTTTAACAGTTTTTTGTCCGCTGTACGGAACACCTAGACCATGGTTAATTCCTTTAATACGCCAATCTTTACTCGTAGCAATATTAAATTCCTGACAAATACGTTCATACGCGAACCTATTGTACGGATCATTTGAGGTATTCCATGCTCGATCCTGTCGTGATGGGGCACTAATTTCTTTAAGTATACGTCTAATCTGATAGTACACGTGAAATGATAAAACAGACTTATTTAGTTCAAATCCTGGGGCATAAAGAGATACACCACATCCTGTTGTTGCTCACCATATGGCAAAGTTTAACTGATTCTGCCAAAATTGCATTGGATTGGGAAACCAATCGTGCACCATTTTATCGCTAGTTGCTATGAACCTGTATTTTTCAAAGATATCAGGGAATTCAACAAAAAGATTAGCACCAGAAAGGCTTACTAAAATCGACTGATTAGTAATATAAGTTGATTTTATATTTAAGTTATGATATAGTATCATTGTATATTTAATATGTATGTTACACTCCCGGGAATAAAAACTGGTCAGTCTATTGAACTGCTTCATACTATCGATAACTCGGATGGACAAGTTGAAGTCGCTCTCTGCGATGTAACGTATTACCCGCGGTGGACCAATATAAATGCCGCAAGAGAAAATAATAGGTTATTAATAGGTGAAAAAAGTATTGGTCACACTCGCATTGTTATACCTGATGGGTATTACAGCGTATGCTCACTCAATGATGAAATTTTTAAACCTAATGGAATTAGTCTCACACAAAATGAGTCGAATGGGATGCTGATTTTGAACTCTGGAGAAAAGCTTGTAATTCTAAGTACAAGCTTAGCAGATACACTTGGATTATCAACGTTGACAATACCACCCAACGATATAGTGCATGGAGTTAAATTACCCGATTTAGTTCCCTATAAAGAGTTGTGCATCCATCTTGATCAGATCTATACAACGGTTAATATTCAACTTGAAAGTCCTTCAACTCTACTCAGATCTATTCCAGTCAAAGATGAAAAATACAATAGCGGTAGAACGGAATCTTTCTCATCATCACAATATAAAAAATTAAAGCGTTGTATTATTTCAGACCTCAAAATTTCTGTATTAGATGTAAAACATCAACCTGTACATATTGGATACTTGAGTGTAACACTTCATATTATAAATAATGGTTGATTCATCAGGCCCTGGAACGCATAACCTGAGACAATGTAATACAATTGCGCTTTCCGATCTAGGAGACACAGAAGGATTTGGTAAACCCGGTACCAATGGTAAGATATACGCTTTACACTTACAAGATAATGTATACAAGCTGAAAGAAGTTACATTCACAGGTAATCTAGGAGATTTAAGCGATTTCGACGTTAGTAGACTCCATAAAAACACTTTGTATAATCTTACTCTCAACGATGATAATAAATGGACTATGGTTGAAGCAAACATCGAGTGGCTACTGAATATCGTCATAACCCCACCGTATGTGATGATGAGTAAGGCACATAATTTAACTAAGATAATAAATAGTGGGATCGTACTCGGGGCTTATATCCCATCAAAACGAAAAAGTGTGTTAGTCAACCCCCTGCCAGAAAACCCAGGTCATATGTTATATAGTCGTCCGGCAGTAAAAAATGTTAGTTTAAATTTGGTTACTGAATTCAATGATATTAAACAGAACTTGAGTGCAATACCTAATCTTTCTACAATTGTTATTGAAGTCTTGTTCGGAGATGCACCGAAAGATGCCTTAGAAATATTACCAGGTCTATCGATTAAATGGCTAAAGAAACACCAACGTCAAAGTTGCAGTATTATTCATATTGGAGCATCACCCGTTGCAACCCTTGAGGGGGGTCCAAATTATTAAAAGTGACAGCATTTCTGTTATTTCTAAGATATTCATGCCGTATAATATACATTTGATAAGGTTGATGTATACTCTCAAAACATTTAAGCAAGACCAATTAAAGACTATTATATGATATAATAATATACACTATGGGTCTATATCCGGCGCTCGATGAGGCATCTGAAAAGATGGATACTGTTGATGGATTTCGATTACATCAAATAAGCGACATAAAACATCTAATAGAGAAGGAGAGGGAGTTGAGACTTGTATTGTATAAAAAGTATCGCAGAGCCGTGAATGCTCTCGACGGAGTTGACACCGTGCTTGTAACGGCTAGCATGGGACTTGGTGTAGCCGGTATTGGTTTATTATCAACTATAATCACCGCGCCTATCTTTCTTGGCATGGAAATAGCTGCCGGAGTCTCAGGACTAGCAGGAATAGCGATAAAATTCATTTCTCGTAGGTTGCAAAAGAAAGCATTAAAACATGATAATATTCGGATGCTCGCAGAAGCAAAGTTGAACAGCATTGAGGATCATATTTCGACAGCAATGGCTGATTGTAAGATATCCGAGGAGGAGTTTCGTTTAGTGCTGTCGGAACTCAACAAATACAACGTAATGAAGCAGGAGATTCGATCCAATTCTCGTAAGACCAGTGGTATTAAAGAAAACGAGAAAAAAAAGTTCATAGAACAGGGGAGACAACAAGCGCGTCAATTATTCCGTGCCAAAACCAAAGAACTGGTTGGAGATTAAAAATAGATTGCTTACTATCATTAGATCACATTTAGAAGAATGTTTACATAAATATATAATAATGGAGAATTACAAACCAACAAAGGAAGAACTTGAAAAAGCTATCGAAACATTTATGCTCAGGGACAAAATTATCAAATGGAGAGAATTACCACAAGGTATATATTATATCAGTGATGTCAAACCAACCAAATACGGTCATCAATTGTTTCTTTCCAATTTCCAAGAAGAGTATATAGTCTGGTCTCCTAGTAAAATGAACGAAGAACTTAGTAAAAATGTTGAATATCACTTCGCTAAAAATAATGGTATACGTATGAGTAAAAATAATAGAGAATATTTTCATTACAATTTAGTTTAATCTTATGACGATCATTGAATCGCATCAAAAGATAGTTAACCGTTTGCAGGACATCACCGCTATGAAATTGGAGCGTGCCAAAGTGAACCAGAGAGTTCTAAACCCATTTCCGACCAAGAAATCCATAAATCATTTGCTTTTACAATGCCGTCAAAAGTAAGGTACGGTAGCATTTTGCAATTGGGTAAATAAAGTAGTAATTCAGGGAGCCTGACCACCCAATCCCGATAATCGCCTCTTAAGACAAACATGGGTTGCTAAAGACCAATTCTAACCCTCATCTTCAAGGGTACTTGACAGTCAAAGGGACATAATCCTACCTAGAGCTTCATTCTCAGTATTTTGAAATCAAATATTACGACCAAGCGGTGTTACTTTTAGCATGCAACCAAGAACAAAAAATGAGGTACATATGTAAAACTAACTTCATGCAAACTTTCAATAGTTTCTGTAAAGAACCTTACAAGATATGATCTTTAAAGTAAAATTTCGGTGAAGATCAAAATCAAAATCCATACCAAAGATAGCCAATGACAGCTATTACAGTTTTGATTTGTTGTGTATGGAGACAATTCTCAGAAAGTTTGGAAGCATTTCATTCAGTGGATTCAGAGTTCTATGCTTTTGAAGATGTACCCCCAAAACACTGTGAAAACCTTGAATTCAATATGGCTACCAAACCACGTGACCAATGGCCAAAGTCAAAGAACAAAAAATGTCAAGCACCTAAAATCGGACAAGCGGTTGGGGAGCAATAAGGCAACATAAATCTTCAAAAAATATACTCACAAGCAAAAGAAACGCAAGTCGAGTATGCAGTATTCATGTTATTTATTTTCAACAGTAAAGACAAGAAATACTAATAGGGCAAGATTGACAAAAATTTGGTTGAAGACAGTTTAATGGATTAAAAGACAGATGACATAATTGTTTTTTTTCAAATGTTAAGGGCTTACACAGTTTTGGGTCAATACCCAAAATGTCAGTCAATACCTGGTGTGACCACCATTAGCATTGATCACTGCCACACATCTCCTGTACATTGAGTAGTTCAGACGACTTGTGAAGGCCCTAGGGATCCTCCTGCACACATCCAGGGCAGCTGTGCGTAGTTCATCGGCAGTTGTAGGGACTGGGCGCACATTGTGCAGACGCCTTTGAACCTCATCGCACAAGTGTTCGATGGGGTTGAGATCAGGGCTGAGGGCTGGCCATGGCAGAACACGGATGTTGTGTTGTTGCAGAAAGGTCATGGTAGCTCTAGCAACATGGGGCCGAGCGTTGTCCTGCTGGAAAATGTGTTGTTGATGTTGTGCAAAAAATGGAACGTGGGGTCTGATCACTTGGTCGATATACCGCTGAGCAGTGATGCTGTGTCCCTGACCTTGACCAACATTCAGAAAGCACATGGGTCCAAGTCTCGCATGAAGTCCAATCCCTGCCCATATCATGACGCTAGGTCCGTCCCATGGATCCCTTTCCACAACGTTTCTGTCAGCGAAACGATCAACTCGCCGCCGCCAAATTCTGACTCTTCCGTCTGCATGGGAGACACAAAAGCGACTTTCATCAGAGAAGATGACTAGCCTCCACTCATGATGACGCCAATTGTGATGACCCTGTCCGCACTGAAGTTATGCTTGTCGATGCCGTGGTTGGAGAACAGGGCGACGTGCTGGAACGGAGACGTCGGATCACTGTGTCCTGGTTAATGTTTCGATTATGTGTTCCTATGGTCTGTCGAGAATATTGATAACACCATCAGGCTTCACTACATGCTAAAACTCGTATGAATTTATGGTTCCGTGTTTGTTACCTATTTGCTTAAAACCACTTGCGTTTCTTTTGCGTGAGAGTATATATTCTGTCTATTAGGTGTAGGATAGATTAGAAGCACCTTGAGTATCAGTGCAAGGTCCATCTAATCAGGAAATGACGTCTTGTTAGAAATAGACCTTGATAGACATCATTACCTAACAAAAGGGAAGTGACTCCAGCACTGGTATTTGTGTCACAAATCCAAATTTAACAAAAAATGATGTCATTAAGCTGAAATAGATTAGAAATGACCTCATTATTACGAACAAGATCAGCAAATATAACAGTAATTCTAGTGAAGGTATCCCATATTTGACTAATTCTTGACACATTTCTTATTTTCCTCTGTCCTCTGAGGGAATTTCAGTGGAAATTATCTCGAGTTGGATCAGAATCAGTAAATAATGGTTTCCAGAAGAGGATTACTGTCAATTACACAGGGAGTTACTTAAGGCAGGTCTCTCTGGGTCCCTCTGGTATATTCTGGCAGAGATTTAATAGAGGTAGAAATTTCGTAACAATTATCGAACAATAGTTGTCATTGTTAATAATTCTAAGAATACTACCTCTATTACATCCGAAGTACTCCTACCCACCTCCCCAATTCATCTACTTCTCGTGGTTAGATGTGGGGAAAAAGTGAGGTTCCCGCCACTGCAAACATCATAGCTTTGGTGGTTACAATGCTACTTGGGAATAACTAATTTTGTGTGATTGACAGTGAAGAGGATGTCTGTGGAAAATCTGAAAATTTATGGTTCCGTGTTTGTTACCTATTTGCTTAAAACCACTTGCATTTCTTTTGCATGTGAGTATACTTGTTTTTTGGTTATCTTCAGGACATTGGGAATCTTAGTGCAAATTTTGAAGAGATTCTGAGCTGTAGTTCTTGAGTTATGATTGGAACAAAAAATGCTGGAATAATAACAATAATAATATTTTTTAAAAATAAATTGAACGATTAACAATAGGGCTCTTGCCTTTCAGGCAAGGGCTACCAGCCTTTCGGCTACAATAGGGCTCTAGCCTTTCAGCTTGGAGATCTAATAATAATAACCTAGTACCCACAGTGGCCAAGCGTTTCAAATAGGCCAAGGCTGATATCCAGGGTGAAAAGTGATCTTCACACAACCGCTGAGCTTCATGTAATGTGAGATGTAATGCGATATGATAGAGGCATGCCCTTGCCCACTAAAATAGTTTGCATACCTTCAAGAAATTTTCACACAATGCTGGATTAGACTATAGCTGTTCTAGAAGATTCCAGATAACACTTGACTTCAAAATCATCTAAATATTGTAACGTCCACACAACTGTTTACATTGGATATAACTACATCCTTGGCAACTAACCATTGTCAAAATACAATGCTATGAACTTCTACTGAATCTCAGCAGAAACAATGTGATACAATTACAACTTTGTTGAACAATAAATTACACTGCCATATAACGATATGGCTGAACATGTATGCAGCTGTGTACTCACCAGAATGTTGTAGCACAACAATATGACAAGTAGTGGCATCTTCACTGCCAAGAACTGATATCACATCTGGAAAGCAATGAGAGACGTTAGTCAAATTTGAATGGTAGTTGCTCCCCGTGTACACTCAATGTATCATATCACAATTGTATTATGATAAATACCCGGGAGCCCATTTCATAAAAGTCTCCTCTACCTCAGGTCTCATAACTTAACAGTCGTAAGTTAACAGTCCATTTCATGCAGGGATAAGTCACATAAGACATCAGTTTATTTCTTAACTGCATATTTCACAATTACAAATACTATAAATTCTAAAAATTTACACAAGAGTGAAATTAATGCTAGAGTAAAATTAATGCGAAAAATGTGAGTGGTCTTTGCTCACATGAATCAAAGCTTGCATTTATGTCTCCAAATTGACTGTTGACATGTATCCCTTCAGGTGAACAAACAGGTGATCTTTGATAAAACATCAATAAACACAATGATATTACAATTTAAATTGTATTGACTGTTATGCTAGAAATCAAACAAAAGTTATCATTGTGTATAATTCTAAGAATACTATCTCTATTACATCATAGCCACAAATTCTCATTTTGGCAATAATCACACCATAAAATCTTCAGATTTTTCGACAGACGTCCTCTTCGGTGCCAATTATCCCAATAGTTTTGAGGTAGACCCTATCCTTTGTCACACTGTATCTGTGCATGCGCAAGGCTGGAAAACATCATTTCTTTCCAATGAGCTTCATCGACTAGATGTAAGATATATTTGGTAGGTGGGAGAGACTATTTCCTAATGCAACTGAGGTAGTATTCTTCGAATAATACAAAATGACAACTATTGTTTGATAATTCCTACGAATATCCTACCTCTATTAGATCATAGCCAGTACTCATCTAGTACTCCTGGATAATTGGCAGCAGTGAAGTAAGGGAATACATAGAAGAAATGGGGTATGAACCAATGCCTAACTTCCTGATTTCACCTTGGTAAACCTGAAGAAGACAAGTGTCGTTCTTTTACGTTCTATGACCTCATAATTGTTACCTGTTTTTGGTGATATATGAGCTTTCTTATGATAGTTTCTCTCCGGTTCTGAGGTCTTTCATGACGTCACTTTCCGGTTTTGAGAACATCTATGATGACAGTTTTGGTTTATTATCTTTGTGACATCACTTGGGTCATTTATGATGTCACTTCCAGTTCTGAGGTCATCTATGACGTCACTTCCGGTTAATAATCCATTGTGACGTAGAAATATACTTGTTGCTCTATAGCCAACAGCATATATACTTATCTCACCTCAGGTATGATAATGACAAACATTTCCACTGATGACATGTTTCCCATTATATGTTGGTATTGGTAATACATACTCTTTACGTTAATTCCCGCTCTGAAGTCTTCCACGACAACACCTCCGGTAGTAGTTATACATGTTATGCCGAGTGACTAACAATGTAATAATCCTATCACCTTATGACCTATGATCCCAGATGTTAGCCATGTTAACTTCCACAGAAAAGGGGGGTAAAGGCTACTGAGTGACTATAGCCTGGGCAGCCACCAAGGGACCCAGGGAGTATAGTCCCTCTAGATCGTGTTGTACGTCTCGTAGGTAGAAGTTATTAAACATATTTTGGCATATCTCCATTGGCAGCTTGATACCACTTGTTCGATCGAAACTGAATTCTATGAGCCTTGGTGTTGAGAGATTGGCTTGATAACTATCAGATATAGTGGTCTTAAGCCATCTGGCCACAGTTGCCTTAGTAATGTCCTTTTCTGACAAAGGCTTGCAAGAGATAAAGAGCCATTTTCTTTTCTTCCTGTGGTTCTGTGTAGCTGAAATATAGTATAATATGGGGCATAATAGTCTATCTGGATGATCCACTGTTTTACTCAAGGATGGAAAAGAATATTATCTATGTCCCAGAGGCCCAAACGCTGATGCCTGGTTTTTGGCAATAAATTCTGGTAGCGATCTTAAGGATATTGTGCTCCAGTCTTGTGTATGCGTGATAGATGAGATATCAATTGTGTGAAACTCAGACACTCTGGCAGCTGTAGCTAACGCTGAGAGGAAGGCTGTCTTTTTAGAAGCTGTTAAAAGTGTAGCCTCTGCCATTCGTTCATATGGTGCTTCCATCAGGGCAGACAGTACAATGGATAAATTCCATTTTGAGATCCTAAGGATACCGGTAGATCATCAGGTTGTAGAACTGAGGCCAGTGCTGATCTATAGCCTTTAATTGTACAATGTCGAAGACTTTTCTCATTCCTCAGTTGAAGTAGAAAATTAGCCACTGTAGGAATTGTTATATTTTCGTCATGCAAAACCTCTTTCTGGCAGAACTTTCTCCATCTGACGTTATAGATAGCTGAGGCAGTTAGTCTCCATGAGCTATCCACCGCTTCTGAAGCTGATTTAGAGAGACCGGAAACTTGCATCTTTGTCGCGATAGTTTCCAGGCGTGAAGGTGGAGATTTGTCAGGCTGCTGTAAATAAGTCCGATAGCTTAGGCATGTGGCAAACGGATCCAGGTGAGGGGTATCTCACGTCTAGGTGATTCACTTGAATACCTCGGGGTGGAGAATACATTTCATGGGTACAATCTTGTGTTACCAGGATAGGAAGTCTGCAAGTATGTTTACTTTCCCTGGTATGTGTCGTGCTTCTATCCTGCAACTCACTGAGTCTGCTAAGGCAAATAAAATCGTAACCTCTCTCAACAAAAGTGCTGATCTCGTGCCCCCTTGGCGTTGTATGTACACTACCACCGTGGTGTTCTCTGTAGCTATTAGTATTCACGAGTGGTGTAGTAGATGAGACCATGCCTTGATTGCTTGGATAATAGCTCTCATTTCCAGACAATTTATGTGTAAATGTTTGTCTTGATTTGACCACCTTCCTTGATTGTGACATCGTCCATAGGCACACCCGAACCTTCGCCTGATGCGTCTGTATATATACTCACACGCTAAAGAAATGCAAGTTTCGGGTCAATACCCAAAATGTCAGTCAATACCTGGTGTGACCACCATTAGCATTGATTACTGCCACACATCTCCTGTACATTGAGTGGATCAGACGACTTGTGAAGGCCCTAGGGATCCTCCTGCACACATCCAGAGCAGCTGTGTGTAGTTCATCGGCAGTTGTAGGGACTGGGCGCACATTGTGCAGACGCCTTTGAACCTCATCGCACAAGTGTTCGATGGGGTTGAGATCAGGGCTGAGGGCTGGCCATGGCAGAACATGGATGTTGTGTTGTTGCAGAAAGGTCATGGTAGCTCTAGCAACATGGGGCCGAGCGTTGTCCTGCTGGAAAATGTGTTGTTGATGTTGTGCAAAAAATGGAACGTGGGGTCTGATCACTTGGTCGATATACCGCTGAGCAGTGACGCTGTGTCCCTGACCTTGACCAACATTCAGAAAGCACATGGGTCCAAGTCTCGCATGAAGTCCAATCCCTGCCCATATCATGACGCTAGGTCCGTCCCATGGATCCCTTTCCACAACGTTTCTGTCAGCGAAACGATCAACTCGCCGCCGCCAAATTCTGACTCTTCCGTCTGCATGGGAGACACAAAAGCGACTTTCATCAGAGAAGATGACTAGCCTCCACTCATGATGACGCCAATTGTGATGACCCTGTGCGCACTGAAGTCGTGCTTGTCGATGCCGTGGTCGGCAACATCTGAGGTTGTTGGAATGGAGACATCGGATCACAGTGTCCCAGCTAATGTGTCAATTATGTGTTCCTGTTGTCTGTTGAGCACATTCACTTGCAGTTAGAGACGGATGTCGCTGGTGTTGACGATTAATCTGCCGGTCTTGTCGAGGTGTGGTCCCCTATGTACACAATGTCTTGAGTTGGTATTAATTCCGACTTGACGGGATGTACCAGGAAACCCAAATGAGATGGTAGTTGAATAAGAAATATTGCATTCTGCTTTATCTGCAATAAGCCTTATAGGTGGAGAGGAAATTGTCTATATAGCTGTGGAGTCTTACAAGATTTAGATGAGTGAAGCCAATGATGGAGGTGGTAATCTGTTAAAAACCATGGCACTCTTGATATTCCTAATGGTAGCACGTTGAGTTCAAACCTTAGACCGTTTACTGCAAAGCGTAGGTAGGGTCAACAACTCAGGTGAACAGGCACATGCAGGTAGGCATCCTGTAGGTCCAGACTGACTAGGCAATCTCCTAGTTTCAGAGAGTTGCGTAACTAGTTGCATAACTAGATGAAAACGTCGTCCTTTGGGGTGTACTACAAGCTTGAAAATGGAGTTTGTACCCTCTTATTACTACTTCTATTAGCCATGGGACGTCTGTAACTGACTTCCAATTTTCGGCGTATGGCGAGTTTTGGAATCTCTGATTAGTGGTGTGTGAAATCTCATCGATCACAGAAGTTAGTCTGGCGTCGCAGAACTGGGGGGCCAATATCGACTGAGATATCAAACTTCATCTTAGTGGATCTGAGATATTGTGTCTGACCTGTTGAATAAGATGATTACGTTGAGTAAGCAGGAATTGTTGACATCCATATCTGTGCAGCTTGAAGATCTTCATGCATCTTCAGAATGCTGTCCAGTGCACTATGAATGAAACCAACTTGTTCCAAGTTGATTTCAACTTAAGTGTCACAAGGTTGGCCTGTAAATTCCTCACAGTTCAGTTAACAGGGGGACGTACATTTCTGATGCCTGCTGCAAACCAGTTCATATACGTGCTAATGTTTATATCTGCTTATTAACATTGTCAAATTCTTTGAATTTGTTCATCTCAACATTCATCCTCGTATTAGGGTGTCTGACCAGATCAAAATATTGCTCATCAATGGTAGGAGATCTTGGGAATGGACAATGGTGAGTTTTATAGCATTGACTTCCTGTGACTGGGGCTAAGGCATGCTTGGTAGAAGCATTTAATTCCACATTCTTTTTTGCGACCACATTTTCAGTGAATGAGGGATAAGGTAATGTATGAAAACCTACCCTCTTTTCAACAGGATTTTCATAACCCTCTACCTTATTGCTTGGTGGCT